AGTACATCAAAAGTTATGATCAAAAAATGTATAAAACTCTTAATGTTAACAGTAAGAGAGGTAGGTGGGTAGATACGAAAACAGAGTGGTTAAATAGAGAACCTATAAGTGGGTTCCAGGTATGGCAACTAGTGTAGAACCTTCAGGCGGACTACTTAAATTAGACAATGACTAAAGTTGTACAAGTGCCTAGTTGTATATTCTTTCTATGATTGTCCCCTGTGATTGTAATGCAATCATTAGCCAAATATATTATTAATAAAATCCTGGGTCACAAGTACTTACCTTAATATTTAAAAAAAAAAAAAACTAAATCAAATAGGGTAAAAATAAGAGATGTCATATGTTAAGAATTATACAATTTAAAGCTATTAAGTATAAGAATTTCTTGATATAAATTAGAAATAAGATTGGAAGACATGTTAAGAGCAGTAGCATTTAAGATACAATTAAGAGAATTAGAGATTAAGTAATAAATTATTTGGGTAGAAGGACAAAGAGTCTAGTGTAATGAAAAACTAGTTTGATTGTATTGGTAACAAAGAAGAGAATAAGAGAAGTTATGTTTATGAAGAGTATAAGAAACAGGTAGTTCATCCAAGAGAATTTTAATATAAAAGGTTTTTAGAATAGAGAAATAAAAACTATGAGCAAAGTTAGAAACCTTTTGATTATTATTAATATAAAGCCAAGTGGCTTCTTAGTTGATGTTAGAAGCAATAGTAGACCATTGTTAGAAATAATATTGGTATATCCAAAATGTTATGATGTAAACTTGATAGATAGTATAAATGGAGTGTCGAATAGGAATTTCAATAGAAAATTAGTCAATAAATAGAGTATAGACAGAATTGTAAGAGTTATTAGTTAAAAATATTAAAAAGAGTAGTATTTGATAACTACAAGCTAGTTGGTTAGCAAGATTATTAAATAAGTCATTTTGGTATGCAGTAACTTTGTAAAAAGTAAGCTAAATATTGTATGAGTTAATGAAGTTAATAAGAGTTTGCCAAATAGAGAAGTATAAAGTATGAGTATGAGAAAGTTTAGATTCTAATAAGCAGTATTATAATATTTGGAGATAACAGATTGTAAGTCTGTAAAGATATAAATAGAACAGTTTCTAAAAACAGTTATAATTGTTGAAAGAATAGCAAGAATTTCAGCTTTAAAGGAGTAGGACCAAAGTTTAACTTGTGTCTGGAATAAATGAATAGTTGCAGAATTATCAACTTGAATCCAACTTATGCCTATAGAGTATTGAGAGGTACTAAGCTCAATAACAGAACCATTAATATAAAATGAAATGATGGTTAGATTATAATTAGAATTAGCAATAGACTGTAATTTATCAATAAGTTAATTAAACTAAAAAATATAAGGTAATTGTTGAAGTTGATTATTAGTAAAGGAAGTAGTAAGATATATAAAGAATATTGAATAGCTACAGAATATATAATATTAAGAAAGTTGGCATTTAAATTAAGAGTTTTGTTCATATTAATACAATAGAGTAGTTTTGTAGTCAGGTTTGTAAGAATAAAGATAGTGTATTTGTTGGCAATTGTATTAAAATTAAGATAACATTCAGAATATAATGTAGTAGTGAAGAGGGAAGTAGAATATAGGTTTGAAAACTGGGATTGATATGAGCAGTGCCAATGAGTAATAAGAATAAGACCTGTAGAAGTATTATGTCTTCTGGCCTTGCCAATAATTATTTGGTCATTAAGAACAATAAGTAACCAAGATTTGATATTAGAGATAAAGTAACTAATAATATAAAAAAAGTAGGTTATTTAAAATAGATTAAAGTGATCATATAGAGTACATTAATGTGAATGACTTGTTGTAATGTCCTTAAGAGTGGTGAACCATTAAGGTACAACACCTTTAAAAAACTTATTTAATCTAGAAGAAATGTGTTTTTAGTATAATAAGCATGAATTATTATATATAGTAAATTGGTCAAGAAAGAATAATTTGTGATATCTAAGTTGTTTTTTGAAAATAGAATATTTGAAATAAGAAGAAAAAAGATATTCAAAAAAGATAGCTCTGTTATTTAGAGTAAATAGAATGTTATAAGTTGAATTAGTAAAAAATATTCAGTTAATATGCTGATAGGTTGAATAATTTTAAAGTTTGTAGTTAGACAGTTGGGACTATCAATAATAGGATTAGAATATAAGAAGATATTAGTAAGTTGTTTTGTAACTATTGAATTTGGATACAAGTTGATATATCTAATAGGTTAGAATTATTAAATTGTTTAAAAAGATTAGAAATATGGTATTGCAGTTAAATATTCCAAATATGTTTGATATTGTAAATTTGGAGATGTAAAAAGGTATTAGAAAATATTGTATAATAAAGTTTAGTTTTAAGTTTAACAAAACTGATATGTTGAGTAAAGATTTTATTATAGGTAGGCTGACTAATTACAATGTTTTGAAGATGATATTCAAAAGTAGAAATGATAAATGTATTAATAATATAATAAGTATGTAAGTCAATAATATGTTTGGTTTTAGCAATTTGAATAAGTTAAGAGAATTTAACAATAAGCAATTTTGTTTATTTAGATTGTCTATTGTCTAAATTGAATCAGTAAACTAAAAATTTAAAAGATTATTTAGGAGAATATAGTAGAAGAAGATAATTATTATAAGGAATAAGGATATAGTGAGATTAAGGATTATTAGTAATCAGAATAGATTTTGTAGGATTAACTTGAATATTAGTTATAGCATAAAATAATTCAGCTATGGATAATATGTTGAAAAGCTTAGTTTATAATAAAGTAATCCAAGGAGTATCATTCATATATGCTAAAACAAAATATTGTTTTTATAGTAAATTAAATATTTGGAGTTTAAGATTAGTAGCCTAAAAGGATTGTAAGATTAATCAGGTACTTGTACATATATATACAAGATAAGTAGATCATAGTATATGTTACATAATAAAGAAGTAATTGTTTCACCTTGATAAATAATATTATAAATAAAGTATAAGGGAATAAAGACAAGATTAGTAATAACTTGGTTGTGATAATTAGTTAAGACATCAGGAAAAATATTAATAATAGATAAAGGGAGTGTTAGACAAGAAAATAAATGTTTAAAAAGAATAAAGTTGACAGAGTCATATGCGTTATTCATATCTTATAAAAGTAGCCAAATGTTCTTATAATTACAAGTAACATCTTCAGTAAGATTATTGAGAATGTGAATAAGGATTGAAGTGTTATTGTTAGAGAGTATAATATAATTAAAAAATGAGAGAATAGGATTAGAAGAAAATATAGTGCTTAGTTTATTTGTGAGAATTTTGATATATAATTTGTGAATATGTTCAACAAGACTAATATGTTGAGTAGATTACGATCATCAAAGGAGTTATGTTTAGAAATAGGATAAATTCTGTTATGTTTTTATTGCTTAGAAATTCTATTTTCAAGAAGGTAATGATTAAAGAAACTAGTAATGACAGAAATGTATTCAAAGCTGATATGTTTAAACATTTTATAACTAATGTCTGTAAGACTATAGGCTTTGTTATTAGAAAACTAAGAAAAAATTTGAGAGAGTTTTTTATTTATAATGGGGAAGTTCAGAGATTGGTACCAGATTGGATTAATATGAGAAAATAGAAGATAGTGTTGTTATTAAAATTATCAAAAAGAGTTTTATTAATTGGTCTAAATATAGTCCAGTTATGAAAATATGATTGAACATGTTGTTTAATAAATAGTAGATCAGTTATAAGCTTATTAGACAATTTTATATTAGAGAAATGAAATATGTTGATAGTAGTGGTTAAGAATTCTATTGATAGCTTGTGTAAGATGTGATGTAAGAGTAATACATCTTTTGTCACTAGCTTTGTTGACTTGTTGTCAAAGTAAGAGAGAGTTTTTAAAATGACAAGCATGAAAAAGTTGTTTCCAGATAGAATAAGTAGTACATTAATTATTGTTATTATATATGTTGTTTATATTGATTATAATTTTATTAACTGTATAATACATATCAAATAGTTTAACATTTTCATTATTAGACAAATATTAGTTATAACTTTTAATATAATATTATATATTCAAGTTAAAAAATGCAAGCTTGATAGATATTTTTTATTCTCATTATATATTTATTACAATAATTTTTAATAAAAATATTCTTTATAATATTTATTTATATAATAATATTTGTATATCTTCTGCTTTTTTTTTTTTACAGTAAATTCTTCTAATCATAATCAATTTTTTACAATCTTTTTAACTATAATTTGTGTACAAAAGTTGTTAACTAAGCAGCTCATTTGTGACAAAGTTTCTATAACATAATCAAAACAACAATCTTTTAAACATAATTCACTTTCTTTAAAAACTTCTACTGAATCTTTAGTTCGTTTTAATACATTATTAAGTTTCTTCAAAAAACCTATAATAAAAGACAAATTTAAATAATAATAAATTTTGTTAAAATAATATTATAATAAAAATGTACCTAATATTTTTTGAATAGAAATTGAATCCAAAAGCTTTAATCTCTTTGCTACATATCCAAATTCAACAGATAAATCATATGCTAATTTTAATCCAATTATAAGAAGAAAGCTTGAGTCTATTTCTTCATTTTTTTCACGTATTTTCTGAAATAAATAAGTATAAATATAATATAATTAGAAAAAATTACTTACTACTTACTTTTTCATAATCTGTAAAGTGAATTCTATTCATTTTCTTTTCATATTCATTGATCTTTTCTGATTCGCTCCATAATTTTTCTCTTACTTTATATAGTTTAGTTAATAAGTTTTCTTGAATTTCAAAAAAAAATAAACTATCTTTTATATTATTATTGACAAAATTATTAAGATTTTCAAATTGGTTAATAATCCCGGAACAACAATCATTCCATTTAGGCCAAGATTTAAAATGTTTGTCAATTTCAAAAATTAAACAATCAATTTCATTTGAAAAAGTGCTTTCTAAATTAAGACTATTCACTTTTTCAATAAATAAAAAAATTTCAGTCTGAATATCAAATAATAAATTAATCATATTAAAATTTTTGATTTTCAAAACTATTTCATCAAATTCTTTAAGTTGTTGTTCAAGTTCTTGAATTTTAAATTGTTGATCAAGTTCTTGAAAATATTCTTTAACATCTTGATTGTCTGATATTTGCGATAAGTTTTTCAAATCACTTATTGCTTCTTCTAAAATTTTTGAATCTTTCACCTTATTTATTATTTTTTCTAATGATGTTTGAAGATTTTCTGGTATTGTTTGCTCCATTGTTGCGATAATTATCTATATATAGCGAATAGATTGTTATAAAAAATTTTGCAATTTATTAGTTCATTGCATATTTCGTCTGATAAATATTTTTTTGAAAATTATGCTTACATGCTATAATTAATATGTTATATATTAGCTAACTTTTAGATTTAATAAATAAATATTTTTTAAAATTTATACTAACTTTCTGTAATTTATTTAACAATGTTTGATTTGTTATTATAATAAAATATTTGCTATGCGCAATATCTGATGGAACTTTGACCAATGATGAAACCTTTAAAAATAGTAAATATTTAGAACAATATAGCAATGAATTTTATCGAAATAATTTATATATAATACTACAAAAATTTTTTTTTGTAGAATTTTTGCTATAAATATCTACTTTGTTTACTACATTTTTTATATATAAACTTTTAAATAATTATTATAAATGTAATTCTTCTTACCTTTTAAGTCGTAATAGATTTTATTGTTCATTATAAGTTTTTTTTATTCATCAATCATCCATCAGAAATTGCTTAAAGAATTATTTCATCAAGTTTCAATTTGACTTACATTCTGTAATTTATATAATTATAATATTTAAGTCATGAAATTTAATAATTCGAAATTCATTTAAGAACAGAAAATTTAATATAATAAAAATAGGCAAATTTACTATAAAATTTGAAATATTGGTATTCATAATATAAAGTATTATTAGTTAAAATATAATATAAAATTAAACTATATAAATATTTATTCCAACTTTTATAATTAAGATTTCCTGTTCTTATATGAATTACTAATCAAATTTTATACTCACTTCCTAAAATTTATTTAATTTATTGAGATATTCATAATGAAATTTTAATAACAAGTATTGCCAAAACTTACATCCTATTAATTTTTTTAAAAAATAATTTGAATATATTTACTAAAAATTTTTAACTAAATAAATAACATTTATAAAAAAATATTTACCTTCTAAATTTATACAATCGATTAAGTATTAATATTTTATCATAAATTGATATTGATTTACATATACGCACTTTCTTGTAATTTCAACAATTATTTAGAACATTTAAATATAGTTAATTTTAAATTTTTGATAGTGCATTAAAATTTATACCTACAAACTACATAGTTTAAAGCAATCAATTGAAAAATCAATAATTATTCAAGTATAATAAATTAAGCGCTATAAAAATTGTACTTACAATCTAAAAATAAGAATAATTATTTAATAATTTAATAATTTATTATTTATTTGAAGTTTTAATTACTAATTTAAAGAAAAAAATTATACTTACTCCCTATAATTGAACTAATTTGTTATATATTTGGCTTAATGAATATTATTAAAATTTTCATACTCACATCCTAGTTTTTTCATTACGAATAATTATTAATAAAGCATGATTTATACTTAAGAAATAATATATTTTATGCTTACGTTCTAATATATTTATATAATTAATTATTTTAAAAAATATCAGTAAATATTTTAAACCACTTTTACTAAAACGCACCTATATTGTTTTAAAAATTGGCTAGTTAATTAGTATGCGATGTTCTAAGTAAAAATACTCTATGCCCAAAAATCTTTTCAAAATTTAATGCTAACCTAAATACTATCCCTAATATGAAACATCTGAGCTAAAAATTTTATAAGCAAAATTTATAAAAACTTAAAAAAAAATATAATAGGTGCAAAAACCATATATAGGTGCGTTTTATAATAAATATTATGCAAATATACTTACTATCTGGAAAATTATATCTTTAAATAATTCTTTTTGATAATTATATTTAGCATAAATTAAAATTTTTACTTACAATCTAGTGATTTATGTAATAAAATATTAATTGTTTATGCTATAAATATAAATATTATTGAATTTTATACTCACACTCTAGTAATTTATTTATTTATGAGTTATTTGTAATTTATGTAATTTATGTAACAATTTAATAAATATCTATTATTAAATATTATACTCACCTATAATTTTATAATTTATTGAATTTATTATAAAAATTATAATGAATTGATATTGATTAATTCATTATAAAAATTATAATATAATAAATAAATATAATTAGGATTTATACTTACTTTCTGAAAGTTATATAACCGATTGGATATTGATTTATCCATTATAAAATTACAATTTAATATATAAATATCATTGAAATTTATACTCACTCTCTGTAAGTTGTATAATCATTGGAGTATTGATTAATTCATTATAAAATTATAATTTAATAAATAAATATCATTGAAATTTATACTCACGCCCTGT